CTCTCTCTCTCTCTCTCTCTCTCTCTCTCTCTCTCTCTCTCTCTCTTTCTCCCTCCCTTTATAAAATTCGCCCGAGTAAATGGTTCCCGTTATCAGGCGTCGGCACAGAGCGAAGGCATCTCGACAACGGCAACGTCGGCCGGCCGAGGCCGATCAAATTTTTCCGCGCGACCTGATCGCCTGTGTTCGTCAAAGTGGCCGCTCGCCGGCTTTTCACAAAGTGTCGTCGCTGCTCGTCGTCGATTATTTTTCCGAAAAAGTAGTTTTTCGCGGTGGAGAGATTCTCTCTCTCTCTCTCTCTCTCTGCACTTTGGAGGGAGGAAGAGTTGGATAGAAGATAGAAAAGAAAAAAAAAGGAAGGAGAGGAGGAGAAGGCACAAGAGAGAGAGAAAGAGAGAGAGAGAGAGAGCTCGTTAATGCTTTATCGCGCCGTGCGCCCGACTGGATTTGGCCCACTTAGCCGTTTCTGGAATCCTTCGATCGATCCGCTCGCTCGTGACATCCGGTTCTTGCTTGCATCCATTTCGAGTTTCTGTTCTCGCTACGATGGATACGAGACCTGACAACGCGACCGTTCTTCCGCTTGACAATTTTAACGTCCCTCCCCCTCCCTCCCTCCTCCCCCTCGACTACCATACTGTCATCGGCCCGTCCCGATATCCACTATCCACTCTCAACGGCGGTTAAGAATAGATATTTTTTTTTCTTTTTTTTTTTTTTTCGAACGGCCTCGAAGAATATTTTTCGCCAACTATATATATATATATATATATAATTCGTATTTCGTATTTCGTTCGTCCATCGGATTCAAGATTTGAAAGATTCGAGAAGGGGGGAATAATAATTCGAAGTGGTTTTTTTTTTTTTTCTTTTTTGAAAATCGGTATCAGTTCGATTCCTTCGATTCCCCCTCCCTTCCCCCTTGAAAATTCAATCTATCCTGTCCAAGAATTCCAATTACCCTTCCAGCAGTTCTGGGGAGGGAGAGGAGGAAAAAGTGGCCGGTCAGAGAGAGTGTACGTAACGAGAGGAGGGAGAAAAGGGTGACAGGGTGAAAAATCAAACGGGGAGGTTAGAGAGAGAGAGAGAGAGAGAGACGTTCGCGAATCCCTCGATTGTCGCGGACCGTCTATGCTCCATTCGACCATTCGTAATAACGAACGCGTCAATTTTTCGTCCCTGTCCACCTGTCCAACCCCCCCTCTCTTTCTTTCTCCTTTCACTCGTTATCGGCCGGGTTCGTGTGCCAATGGCAAGCCTAGAGTCGAATCTTCCCTTCATTTTTTTTTTTTTTTTTTTTTAAATTCTTTTCTTCTTGTTTTCTCGTCGATCGAGAAATTTCAATTCGCGGAGGGGACCGCGATCTTTCAATTCTCGAGGACGGATTTTAAGATAGGTCCGGTACCCGGATTAATTAAACGAAGGAAACGATTATTCTCTTTTCCTTTTTTCTTTTCTTTTCTTTTGGATACGTGACTGTGTTCGAATCTTTCCCTTATTTTTAACGCTTCTCGCCACGAGTTCTTTCGTTTATATTTTTGTTTCAGTTTTAGAGCCAA